ACTACAACAACCACATCAACATCAACAACTACATCAACGACAACAAAGCCAACCACAACGACAACTACAACAACTACATCATCATCAACAACAATGAAAACGTCAACTACTACAACTCAAACGACTAGCAGTAAGTTTCTTTAAGTTTTGATTTGAAAGGCGGGTAGTATAAATGGAATGGTAAGGTTATCTTCTCTTTATATATTCAAATCCATGTCTACTAGAAAAGAATTTTCAAGTTAGATTTTTCCGTACGATACAGTAGATTGGATTTATATCATTAAACTCAATATTGATTAGCGTATTAGAAAAAATATACATCCCATAGCCTGAAACTTTATTGAAGAATTGTTTTAACTGCCGATAGAGCACTGTGACCTTTATTAAATGAGTACATATATTCAAATCTACATTGAATAGTGCGTTTCTTACTCATTATATCACTGAATTATACGTAATGATAATCACTTCTTATGTATCCCAGTATTAAGTGAATTAGATTATGAGAAAACTAGCTGATTCTAAATTTCCAAGTATTTACAGATTCTATGAAATTCTTTTGAGTTATTCTAAATGATCTGTTATATTTTGTTTTTGATGAATTTTACTGAAAATATGTAATAAATGTATTTATTCTTAGATATATTCAATATTGGCCGTTGGTCAATAACAGGCTCCCTTGCAATAGGTCGTACTGGGCATACATCAACTCTTCTTTCTGATGGTCGTGTCATCGTTGTAGGAGGTAGAGAGGGTGCTAATACAGTAGAACTTTATAATCCAGCAACACGAACATGGAGTCAAGGAGCATCAATGAATAATGCTCGATCAACTTACACTGCCACTCTTTTACCAGATGGTCGATTGTTTGTTGTGGGTGGTTGGTATTACAATGTAGCTAGTAAAACTGCTGAAATTTACAATCCTGTGAGTAATAGTTGGACAGCTGTTAGTAACATGACTTTCGGTCGATTGGGACATGCAGCAGTCTATTTACCAGCACCAATGAATAAAATCTTAGTCATGGGTGGATACGATTATAACGGCAACTTCATACCTTTGCAATCGTGTGAATTATATGATTTCGTATCGAATAAGTGGACAACCACCACTTCAATGATTAATATACGAGTCTATTTTACAGCAACATACTTACCATCTATGAATGTAGTCGTAGCTATAGGAGGCGGTTATACAACTAACGTGGTAGAAATTTTTACCGTATCAACATTACAATGGACTCAAAGTTCGAATACAATTGCACCAGATGCATCATCATGTACAGGTACATTACTACTCAATGGACAATTTTTAATTGCTGGTGGTGCTTACTGTTACAGTAGAACTTATTTGTTTAATCCAACAACGAATTTATTTACATTTGCAGCAAATACTACCCAACCACGAAGTGAAGCCAGTGTAACTTTATTACCATCAGGTTCAGTTCTTCTAAGTGGTGGATTTAATGCTACTACCGGTCAACCTATTCGTTCGGCTGAAGTTTATGATTATCAACTCAATATGTGGCGTTCTGTAGCAGACATGAACACTAATCGTTCTCGTCACACAGGAGTTGCTTTAAATAATTCCTCCTCAACATCACCAACAGTACTTGTTATTGGAGGGCTACACGACTGGGTAAGCGGGCACGACTTAACTGATTGTGAACTGTTCTCGGTCAATGGTTGATAAATGTACGTTTTATGAACTTCGAAGACTTTCTTTTTCTTACTCATATCTATTCAAGAATTTTTTTATTCATATCTATTCATGAATCTTTTTATTCAAGATAATCTGCAGTTTTTTTACAAATAAATATATCTTTCTATTAATACAGCAATTTTGTTATAGAATAAAGCAACGCGATATTTCTATTTAAACCAGTAACACAAAATTTTCTAGCAAACAATATTCATCATACAGACAATTTAAAACTAAGATACGTTTTCAGAGTCTTCTTCTCGCTTTACATTTACAGATGTTTGATCATATCTAGCATCCATTTTGTGCAAATCTTTTCTGAAAGAATAAATAACATCTTTTATACTTTCTCCAAGTTCTTCAAATTTCTCGATAACATTGTATGCTCGTCCCGATAACCACATCTATCGTTTATTTGTATCATTTTTTTTTAAGATAAATTCGTTTGTTTCCACTTAGTGTAGTATGATTTGGGATAATGTGTTTACATCTATTCTACCTAATATCGCTAACTAGGGTGTGGGTGAGGGTGTCTGTGTGAGTGTAGGCATGGTATGGGTGTCGAATAAAAAGAATACCGTCACCGCCACCCACATCCACCCATACTCTCAAGATCAATATTTTAAACTAACATTGTCGACTTCTTTTTAGTGAAAGGACATTTCTGAGAGGACATTTAACATGAGGGACTTTTTCTGAAGGACCAAAAACCACGAACATTTTCAAAAGGACATTCTTGACTGTATTCGTTAATATGGATCATATGCGATTAATTCTAATAATAAGAGAAAAGATTATTATCTTGAACTAACTTGAATCAATTCATATTTTATTCCATACCACAAATGTCCATAAGAGAAATCAAATTTCATTACATAACTATCTTTTATCAGTAGAAAATATAACAAGTTCCATTGTTGCTTTTTTTAACACAAGAAAAAATAATAATAAATTACATGAGAAAATATAAAAAAATCATTGAAGGTTTTTCTGTTGTCTTCTTTCAGTATTTATATCTCCCTGAATATTGTTCTTCATTGAAAGCTAGATAAGACGTTTATTTTTCAAAAATTCTCGACCTTTCTAAAAGAAATAAAAACCAAAAGAATTTATTAAAAATATTCAAAATTTATTTACCGCCATTTGTCGAATGATATCATCTTCATTTTCTAAGTGTTTTCCTTTAGCAAATTCTTGTTTAATCCTTGCTAAATAAAATGATACATCAGTATATTTTAGCGTTTGACTATATCTAATTAAATCTCGATAAAGTCGAAGAACTTCAATTTGTCGTGTAGACATTAGAAAAATAATCTAAAACAGAAAAAAAACAAAACAAGCATACAAACAAAATTTGTATTTCTTTTTATTTAACCATTAACCATACGGCCCTTTTTTATGAGTCGTTTTTTTATTTTAGCTTTTTTATCATCTTTTCTCTTTTGTAAATTAGTATTTCGTTTATCTTGTTTTTCTTTCTGTCGTTTTCCTTCTTCCGATTTATTATGTTTCCATTTCTTAGCTGATCGTTGACGAAGTTGTGTTTGTTTTTTAATTGATTTACGTAACAATTGAACATTATCCTTAACTTTTTCACCTTTAGCTTTTGCTAATGCTGTTTTAAATTTTTGTGCACGTAAAAGTTCTTTTCCTTCCTCAGGATTTTCTTCTTTTAAACGTTCTATTTCATTTTGTTCGGATTCAACTTTTTTCAGTGTATTGATTAATTTTTTTTGTTTGCTTTCAAATTTTTTCGTTTTCTTCTTTTTTGATTCCAATATAACGGAATCATCTGTTTTAAAATCAAAACGACCAAATGTTATATGAGTTGGAACTGTTGATGGTTGTGGTTTAGATGATTTTGCATCGGCCGTATTTAATGGTGTTGCTGTCCATTCTTTTGTAGTTGTTCGTGGTCGTTTTGTACGATCTTCAGTTTTCTCTTTTGTACGTTTACGTTTAGCTGCATGATCAATTCCATTTTCTATAATAGAAAAATGAATGAAATACAAAACTAAGGAAAATATCTAATAAAACCTGTTTGTTGTTGTTGTTGACGATGAGGCATTTTATCATGAAGTTTTTTTAATAATTCTTCTCGACTAACTGAAGTTATTGGTTTTTGTTTATTAGTCTTATTTGTTGGATGATTTTCTAAATATATATTTCTATAGAAATAATAATTAGGAAAAAACAAATTTTTATACTATGATGATGAGCAAGAAATCGATAAATTCCTGATGTTGTTCGAATTGATTGAACACCAGCTACTTCTAATGGTGATTTCGAAGTTTGACCTTTATTTTGTTGTTGTTTATTTCGTTTTGATGTTGATTCACGAAGAAATTTATCTTTCAATTCATTATATGTTTGTAATTCATCTTGAGCAATATACGTCTCAGGTCGAATAAAATCAACTAATGAATGAAGAATTGTATTTAAATTTAGAAAATGTTCGATTTCGGGATGACGATGAATAGCATCATCCTTAGTTGTATTAACATCAGAAGTTTTAATATCGGTATCAGTCATTCTTCAAATCTAAAAAGTAATATAGTATTACTAGAATCGTTTTACTTTAATGAATAGAAAAAAAAAGAATCAGTTTTAATAATTGGTTAAGAACTTGACTCAGTACGATCCTCAATGGTAATGCAAAATAGTAGAGGACGCTGGATATCGTCTTCAAACATGGATCGAATAATTTAACACGATGACTGTCCAGTACATCATATATAATGCACGGTGCATACACTGTAAAACAAAATCGGAAATCTTTCAAGATCTCAACAAATACCGAATTTTTTTAGAGTGTATGTATCGGATCGTCAGCGTGTTAATAATAAAAAAAGTATCAAATTCATTTACTTCTAACAGACTGTCTTCAAACAGAAATTCTATGAAATACATAGTACTATGACATATATGTTTTCATTTGTTACTAATCGAATATCCTTTCTCTCAAGTTATTGACTGTAATGATTAAAAATTCTAGTATTTAAAAGGCGAGACACTTTCGATACAAAGAGATTATGTGATGCGCCATAGATTATTTCAACACTTAGCTGTGTCCGTCTTTGACAAGGTACATCATACGTTTTCGTATAGAAAATTCTGATATTATTGATAATTAGAAATAATCTATGTTTATTTTGATAGAATCATAGAAATAAATTTTCTAAGATTATTGCTTAGTATGGCATCTATCGAAATGAATAAATTTGGCTGGATATTGATATATATCCAATGAAAATGAAACCAAAATAGAAAATAACAGAACAGCTGTTTGTTCGATGGTTTATAATGAACTAATAATAGAATATTTAATTTAATTGGTTTATGTATGCATTATAGATTAGTAATAAAATGTTGTCTAATATTGATGAAGCCTTTCTATTAAGTTTAAAAAATGAATTTGGTTCAAATTCATCATCAACATTTGTTTCTTCAGAGCTTTTATCAAGTTATTCACCAATTGAAACACTTACTTCAGAGCTTGATTGTTTTCCAAATATATCTCAAGGTAAAATTACAATTTAATTTTATTCTCGAACAAAAAATATTATTTCTATTATTTAGATCTTCCACTTCAATCATCAATACCAACTCATTTTGATATGACAAATCAAGATGATTTGGCTCTTGCTTGTTCATTAATTAAAAATTCAGTTGTTCAAATTGAACGTACAAGTAATGAAGATATTTTACGTCTAATAAATAATAATCGCAATAAACTTTCAATAACTTCTCCATCGTCAAATATAAGTATTGATGATATGCCACGTGTACGTGGACCTAAATCAACTCGATTTACTTGTCCAATATGTGGTCTAATAACTGTATCAATGGAACGTTTACAAAGGCATGTTAATCAACATGGACAAAAACTTCGATTAGAAACATATAAACCAGAACGAAAAGTATCATCTTTAATTTGTGAAAAATGTAAAGCAACATTTTCATCTGCATATGCCTTAAGAAAACATCAACGTGTACATACACGAGGTTTGTTTTTTTTTCTTCTTTCTCGAATTTTATCCTTATCTATTTTATTTTAATAGATAAACCATTTTCATGTGATTTTTGTGGTTCAAAATTTTCTCAATGGGGAAATTTAAGACATCATATTCAAAGACATTTAGGTATTAGTCCATATGCATGTCCATATTGTAAGAAAACATTTATTGCACCATGTAAACTTGAAGTACATATTCGTGGTCATCTTGATGAACGACCGTATGTTTGTGATCGATGTCAAGCTACATTTAGATGCAATGATGATTTACGAAAACATTTAATTATTCATGCTGATTATAAAGTAAGTGTTTAACTAATGACTTAATAGGAAATTAAAGTTTTTTTTATGTTTTAGCCATTTGTTTGTTGGATATGTTCGAAACCATTTTTTCATGCATCAAAATTACGTATGCATTTAAAAGAAAAACATGATACTGATGTAACCATACGAAAAAAAGATGTATTAGAATCTGGTACTGAATATGAAATAACATTTGTTAATTCAAATGAACAAACAAAAGAAATTCTACCAAGTTTATCAACTAATGATGAACGAACATCAACATTTTATGAAACAATTCTTAATTCAGATGAAAATGAATCAAGAAAATTATCACTTGGAGATGAAACATGTGATGAACCCGTTAGTAATTATCAATTATTAAATGAATTAAGTGTTAATGATATTGAAACATTTGTTAAAAACAATCCATTTGTTTTAACTGATAATGAATTAAGAACTTGTAGTTCAGGAGGAGGACATCATCAACATTTTGATGATTTAAAATTAATTGATTTTCCTGTTATGTGAAAACCTAAACCAACATATATATTAGTCTCTTTCTTTTCTCTTGTTTTGTTATTGCATCTATATTAGGAAAAAAAGAAAACAAAACATAAAAAAAAAACAACCAACAGCCCAGATGAATTTTTTTATTTGTTTATTTTTTGTTTCTCTCTTCATATTTGTTCGATTTCAGTATCAAATATCATATTCTTTTTTTTATTCATGTTATTTCCTTTATCATCATTTTCGAGTCGTAATCGATGTCGTTTCTTTTTTTTCGATTTATCGTTTACTATTGATGAAACATTATATGTAGTGCGTCGAAACTAAAAAAACAAAGAAACTTATCGAATCTCATTCAAAAAAAAAAGCTAACTAATTTTTTTATTAACCAAGGTAATAGACATTGAAGATATATATAACAACAGATAATACTACTAATTAGAATACCAATTATGAACCAACGATGTTTTTCTTCATTGACCATGAGATTGTTAATTCAGATAAAATAGAACATTTATCTTCTTGCGCGTTTTTCTTATTTCAGATAATGCCTGAAATAGCGATTAGTTCGACTGGTTGGTTAGCTATTTGTTTACGTAATGGTATTGCTGGTATATTTCATATGAAAGATACATCTTTATGGCAATATCTTCAATCTGAATCGAAAAGTAATGATTTAAATCGTAATTTAATAAAATTCAGTCCAAATGGACAAGTTTTAATTATTACTGGAGAGAATAAACAATTGAATGTATATATTGCAAAGGATGAATTTTTTTGGCAGTTACAAAAAATAATTATTGTTGAAAAATTTATTACAGCATTAGATTTAACTAATGAATTTTTATGTATCGTTAATAAAAATGGGGATATTTATAAAATTGATTTATTATTCAATGATAATAGCAAGCATTTAATTCTTAATGATGAATATTGTATCATAAAACATTCATCTATGATATTAGATATGATTTCTAACGAATCATTTATTTTAATAGCTGATCAAAATAAAAAAATTTGTTTAAATTCATATCCAGATATTTCTCAGAACCAAAGTTATTGTCTTGGTCACACGGAATTTGTGTCTCATCTTAAATTAATTGATAATTATCGATTTCTTTCAGCATCAGGAGATGGTACATTACGTCTATGGAGTTTGCCTGATTGTAAACCACTTGTTTTTATTCATTCAAAAATATTTGTTCTATTATCCAAAGAAATTTTTTATACTCAATTATTTCATTCCGAAAATCAAACATTCATAGAAAATTATCGATTAGATGCAAAGCCAGATGAATTTTGTTCAGATCCATCTTCAATTATAAATTATTCAATATGGAAAATGGATATTGCTTCATTTAATTCAAATGATTCAAATATTTATATTGCTTTTTCAATTTATTTTCAACGTTTACATTCAATCTATCTAACAACTTTATTAAATATGAAAGAATTAATAAATGAACAACGAAAATTAATATTTGATTCAAGTTATGGTACAATTATTGATTATTGTTTTTCATCAAAAGCAATTTTACATGATGATTATAGAACAAATTCCAAATGTTACCTATATATTTTATTTGATAGTAATACATTACTAAAAATTGATGTTATTTCGATACTTTCTTGTGATAAAACAGAATTATTTATAAAACCTGATGAAGATGTTCAAGAAATTAATAATATATTAGCTAGTAAAGAATTTCATTCTATAAATAATAATAATACTACAGTATCTGATGATATTTTATATAAAGAATTATTTAAAAATCATTTAGAATCTTCTGATAATTGTTGTTCTAAACGTAAAAATGATCGAATTGATCAAGAACAACGAAAAAAACAAATATGTTCACAAATGGAAGAAAATATTTCGATCGCCTGACTTTTGTTTTTACAATAAACATGTCCTCGTGATACTGAATGGACTTTGATACTTTCGTTCTCCACGTTTTTTTCTGTTCTATAGGGGTGTGTGTATGTGTCGTATAGTTGTAATGTTTTATTTTGCGTTCTCTACATATCATCGTAAAAACGATCGGTTTGTTTCGTGTATTTTTTTTCATCCATTTACTATTAACTTACACAAGAAACATTATTTTTTAGACAATGAATAGCTCGATCGTTAGATGTGTACCATCATCATGTGCTCTACTATTCAACAGAGTAGTGACACAACGAACTGCAGCTTCAGCAGCACCGAAAGCTGCAACGCCAGTTACACCTGAATCTCTTATTAATGAACAAAGAGAACAATCCAAGGAAAGTAAAGAACATGAAAAGACAAAACAACAACGTCTTTCACCTACATCAAAATCAAAACCTAAGAAAGAACTTCAAACATCATCATCATTTGTTATGAATTTATTTCGTGGACAATTTTATCCAGATGAAATATTTCCATATCCTAATGTTCTTAATGAAGAACAACGTGATAATGTTAAAATGTTTATTGATCCATTTTGGAAATTTTTTGAAGAAGTAAATGATGCAGCTAAAAATGATCAACTTGAAAAAGTAATTCAAACTTTCTTTTGTCTTTTCTCTTATTTCTTTTATTATGATTTATAGATTCCAGATGACACTATGAATGGTTTAAAACAACAGGGTGCATTTGGTATTCAAGTACCTGTTGAATTTGGTGGTCTTGGTTTAACTAATACCCAAGCAGCTCGTCTTTTTGAAATAGCTACTGGTCATGATCTTAGTATTTCTGTTTGTATGGGTGCTCATCAATCAATTGGTTTCAAAGGTATACTTCTATTTGGTAATGATACACAAAAACAAAAATATCTACCAAAATTAGCTGCTGGTGAACAAATGGCAGCATTTGCTTTAACAGAACCATCAGGTAACAAAAAATTTTGTTTTAATTATAATCTTATTCTACTCAAATTGTAGCTGGTAGTGATGCTGTTTCAATAAAAACTAAAGCTGAACTTTCATCCGATGGTAAACATTATGTTTTAAATGGTTCAAAAATCTGGATATCGAATGGTGGTATTGCGGATGTATTTACAGTATTTGCACAAGTACCAACTGTTGATGATAAAACAGGTCAAACACAAAATAAAATGACAGCATTTATTGTTGAAAGAAAATTTGGTGGTCTTAGTCATGGACCACCAGAGAAAAAAATGGGCATAAAAGGATCAAATACAACTGAAGTGTTTTTTGAAGATTGTAAAGTACCTATTGAAAATGTGTTAGGTGGTGTTGGAAATGGATTTAAAGTAAGAAATGAAAAAATGTAAAGTAAATCAATTATTTCATTTAATAATAGGTTGCTATGAATATATTAAATAATGGTCGATTTGGTATGGTAGCTGGTTTATCTGGAACAATGAAAATGGCTATTCGAAAATCAATTGTAAGTTTTTTGTTAAAGAAATTTAGTAAAGAGACATTGATATTTAATAGGATTTTGCTAAAAATCGTCGTCAATTTGGTCGTACAATTGATACATTTGGTAATGTTCAAGAAAAACTTGTTCGAATGGAAATGCGACAATATGTTACTGAAAGTTTTGCATTTCTTTTGGCACAAAATATGGATCGAGGAATACCTGAATATCAATGTAAGTCTTACTTTTTTTCTTTTTTATTTATTTATACATATATATTTTAGGTGAAGCAGCTATTGGAAAAATCTTTGCATCTGAATCAGCATGGTTTGTACTTGATGAAGCAATTCAAATTCATGGTGGTATGGGTTTTATGAAAGCAACAGGTCTTGAACGTGTTATGCGTGATTTACGTATCTTTCGAATATTCGAAGGTGCAAATGATATTCTTCGTTTATTTGTTGCTTTTACTGGTTTACAATATGTTGGTTCACATTTACGTGAATTACAACAACAAGTTAAAAGTTTTAATTTCAATGTTATTGTTGGTGAAAGTTCAAAACGATTACGTCGTGGTATGGGCATGACAACAGGTCCAAATGTAAATGAATATATTCATTCATCACTTCATCCATCAGGTATACTTTTATCAAAATCAATTGATCAATTTGGTTCAACAGTTGAACAAATTCTTATAAAATATAGTAAAACAATTCGTGATGAACAATTTATTGTTTATCGTATTGGAGATATTGTTATTGATATATTTTCAATGGCAGCTAGTTTATCACGTTGTACACAATCATTTAAAAATCAAGTACCTACAGCTATACATGAATCAAATTTAGTTAAAATTTGGTGTGAAGAAGCTTATGATAGAATTAATAATAATATTAATCTTATTCAAAGTCCAGCATTCATTGCACGAACAAAATTAATGACAGAATTGGCTCGAGAAATTGTTGATAAAGAATCAACTGTACCCGTACATCCATTAGGTTTCTAAATGAAATATTCTCTTTAAAAATTTATCTTCCATGTACATAAATATAGTTTATTCATATAACAAAGAATTTTCATATTATAACTGACTTAAGTAGATATATATGTCTTATTCGTGCAATAAATTTTAAAAAATAAAAAGAAAAAAATTACAATTACTGCAGATAATTTAAACGAAATCAATGATGTACTCTCAAGAAAGTGATTTTCTTCAATGTATCTCAACCGGAAAATATGTGTAAAAAATATCTCTATCAAATTTTATTGAGTAAGGTCGATGTAACCAAAAGTATGATATACTCAAATAAATTTTTCCTTCAAAAATCATTAAGTTCTTATATATCTACACTATTATTACACATAATGTACGTCTTTGAAGAAGTTTGAGAACTAGAGTTGTCGAGAGGACTTTTCAATCCTATATAGAATGCAAACATCTGTTGTATATTGTATAAAAACCCAACAAGATCCCCAAGTAGCGCATGACTAAGCAATAAAAATGATGCTTATTTTTTGTCTTATCCATAAGGAGGATCGAGAATACATAGATTATGCGAGCTTTTTATGCTGATTTCAAATAAATAGTTAACATGTCATGACCTAATAGAGAAATGTAAAATCATGGCACATCAATGTTGATTTTCTTTTTAAAACAGATATGTAATACTTTTAATGTTCATCAACGGAAACAATATCATCATTAAAATATATGTTTCTCTACTTCACTGAACTTTATTCTATACCTATTGTATTATAAATAATTAAATAAGTCATTTCAAGTATATAACTTCACTTTTTTTAATCAACTGATTGAAATAAAGTAAAGTAAAGTAAAGTAAATATATTCACCATAAAATAAAAGAAACCTAACTTCATCTATTGATTACACATGTCATATGCATAAATTCATTTTGACTACAGTTTTTTAATCAATTATAGTACTGGCAGAGTGTACTTTTTCTAATAAGTTATATATCGAAATATCTTTTCATTTACAAAATTGTTATTTGTAATATTCTTAGTTGTAGAAACATTTGTGTTCAGTCATGTATCCAAAGACTTCACTCAATCATTAAATTATATTATTCTTGAAACATTGTTAACAAAATTTTAAATTTACTATAGTACAGGATGTAATTTGTCATTAGAAAAGAATGTATCTATAGATTTGATTAGTATTATACAGTAGTACATCATACAATTTTCCTCATGACAACCATACATTGAAAATTTTCTTTATTTGTTATTTGCATCAGATGCTACCATAGTATTTTATTTACATTGTTATAATAGAAATGATATTTATGTATAATATTTATAAAAGATGCCAATCAACTTACATATATTAAAAAAGAAAAGAACGAATATTGTACATCTATTGCATCATTGACATATACAGTTTTATCAAATATCAGGAAGAGAAATGTAAGATTTTTCGATGAATAATTCAAGTAGAGTAACTTTCTTTCTTTTTCTTCTTTCTAATGTGTTAAATCCAATTTTTCCCCTGTAGAAAAGAAAACTTTATTTTAGAGAACGAAATGATTCATTTGAAGATCAAAGTAAAATAAATATAGACGTATCTGATCATCATTATCAACAACAATTTTAGTCTTGAAAATCAATGAAAGAAACAAAAACACTACAAGTATTTTAGTTTTCATAGGGAAAAAACGTTTCTTTGTTATCATCATTAGAAATATGTTGACATTGTTATTTCAAGCTGTAATCTTTGTTAAAAAATAAATGTATATCTATAAGTAGTATCATATTAATGTTACATGATCCTTAGATATATTTTTTTGAGTTAGTTGTTGTGAATATAAGAAAAAAAAAAGATCAGATGATAGAACCGAGTCAGATTGTTGAAGATGCAACGATACTAAGCGGAATCTTATAAATCAACCGCTCAGTAAAGATACATCTCAATAATGAACGGTGTATATAAATATATATGTGTGTGTGTATGTATGTATGTATGTAAGTTTGGACGAATAGTTGTTAAATGTGAGTAAGAAAAAAAAGTAAAAGTAGTAGCAACAAAATGAGATGTTGATTTAAAGAGAGAAGAAAGAAAAGAAAGAAAATAGTAAAAAGAGAGACATAGAAAGAGAGAGAGAGAGGGAGAAGGAAAGACACACTTTCTCTCCCCCTTTTCTCTCTCTCTCTTTCTTGGTATGTGTATGTTCTAGATTCCAATAACAAGATATTTGGACACTTTGCTCTCTGTTACTTTCGCCCACCTGACTCTTGCTTTTTCTAATGAGTTGACGCACTTGTCATATTTACGGATAGCTAAATAGTCAATCGAAATAAAAGAAAAGTAAACTAAACAGCAGACAGACAACTCATGTGTCTTCTATCGATTTCCACCTGTTCTGTAATCATAGATTTTTATTTCCTTATATACATTTATACATTATTGAATAGTGTCACGCTCTATATATCTAGACAAAATTTTGTTCTTTCATAGCTAGTCAATCGACTATTTTCATTTTCCATTATTATCATTACTACCATCTCATAAGTGTTCAAGTGTGGATCTCTTTTATAAATATATGTGTTTATAAAAATACCTTTTTTTCCTCTTCACTTTCTTCGATTGCAAAGAGGCGGAGAAAAAAAAAAGAATGAAGTAAGAGCTCTTCTCTTTCAAGTGTGACGACGAGCAAAGTGATTAAATGCAACTAAGTGAACAACATATACAGTAAAAGTTTTTTAAGAGTAAAGAATTTCTTTTTTTTTCCAAAGACTGAAAATAACTTTCTTATGCTTCCTAAAGGCGTTATGTCCATCGTGTCTCGCATCGATTTATGTTCGTACAAGTTCATCGATAAGTGTTTTCTTTCATTTCCACCGTAACAACTTCCTTTTTCTGCTTTTCTTATTCATTCGCAACTACTACTTCGAGCAGTATATACTTTTTGCTATGTACACGCACGGCATCAACCGTTTCGGCTCATGATTTGAAATGACAGATGTGGAATGAGGGAAAGAGACATGTGTATATATATATATAGGTATATAGGTATAAAAGGAAAGAAAACGAACGCGTTTCCGCCTATGTCACCATCATCATAATCACTATCGAGCCAAAAAGCTACAAAGAAAAAATATGTACCGTCATCGTCTACTTATCTATCCGGTATGAAAGAGAAGTAGGTAAAAAACGAAGGAAATTGACATCAACACATGAGCTGGAAGCGATGCAAGTGAGTGTGAAATAACTTAGTTGTTCTTTCTGTCAATTCTTTTCTTTTATAGTGACAATTAGATTTAGTGAATATACGTTTTCTATTCATCTTCATGGGGAAAAAAAAAGAAAATTAGAATGATTAAACAAAATATCTCTTCCGATATTCTTCTAAATGTTAGAAACTTATTTATCTATTTAAATAAATGTATGTATTTCAATATCATTGAAATAATTCATTCATCTGATGTCTCTCTTATTTCTACGTTTCGAATTACAGATGAAAATTGTAGTTATCAATTGTAAAATAATGAACTAAACTCACTTGAATAAAATGATGAGCTTTTGAATAACTAGTATATTTTTCTTCTATGTCTATACTAGTAGGTATGTGTATTTTGAAAGACGGGTAGTCGACCGTTGTGTTGAATGAAAGAGAGAATAGTTATTGCAGTAGTAGTAGCACAAACACACACACACAGAAGAAAAAAAATGAGAGAGAATTATGAAAATGTTCGTTAAAGTGTGTATGCGTGCGCAGCGTCGTCTCGCTCTCTCTCTCTCTCCTTCTCTGTCTTACTCTCACAATGTATGATGCATTTTGAAATTCCATTAAAAACGAGTGTGTTTGACACAAGACGACTAAAAGAAAATGTGTAAAAAGAACGAGAAAGAAAAGACGAAGAAATTTGAGAGAATTTTACTAGTCTTTTCAAGCATTAAACCAGCTGATATATTGTACAATATATATATTCATCATTGCGGTTAGTATGTTTCACTTTCTTCAATATGATTTCCACTTCTATAAATATTCAAAATTGAGAATGAATAGATCAATATATCGGACATGGTTGCAAGCAAGTTTGTTTAACATTCAATGACTTCTCCTTGTCTCTCTTTCTCTCTCTCTCACTTGAATTGTTTATTTAAGACAATGACTTTTTTTTCATTTTCAGAAAGTTTATATATGTATGTCTAATCATAAGAAGACGACGACGACAAGCAAGTATTGTGAAAGTAGCAATACCTTGTTTGCATATTCACCAAACGAGTCATATGTAAACTTTCGATCGATCGATCGATCGAGTGTGCATGATGTTAGATATATACTTTTGACAATAGATTTCTCTTGCAAATATTGTCATTTCACAAAAGATAGACACAAAAAAAAATTGTAAAATTAAACCAATATATTTATACAGTCAAGATATTCATTTATATCAATGATCAAATGAATATAGAACGATTTTTGAACAAATCAATATGCAAAAAAAACAAAATTCGTGCAAAATTTATTTACTATCATTAAATAAAGAACATAAATAGTTTTTTTTTTGTTAATAAAAAAATATCTTAATATCTTATGAAGTAGATAGAATAGCTAAATACTTGAAAATAATTAGTTTTTGATTGCTTTCTATTCTAAACCTAAAAGCATCAAGAATTTGATTATATAGAACAAAGAAAAAAATTATCATGTATATATAATTTTATGCTTCTTCCAACTAATGATAATCATACGTCAATGTGCGACATCTTTCATATAGAGGAAAAAAATGTTTGTTTTCATACTGAATTTTTAATTTGGAATTTTTTTGGATTGAATAAATCTGATTTTTTAAAGGATTTATCAAGGTATAATAAAAAAATATAAAGTCATTATTGGCTCAATAGATATAACCAATTATATACAATACATTCTTGTCATTGTCCTTGTCATTGTCAGTTAATGGATATGTATAGATAGGCTAGGCTGGACTATGATCAATGTAAATTAAATGAATTGTAACGCTATATGAGATATCGAAATCGACTACGTGACTTATCTTAACTTGTCATTGTCCGTACAAGCAAAACAATTCATTCTTTTACATATGTCTTTCATTACTATATTAAACAAAGACTTCTTCTATTATTTATCTTTCTTCTAATGTTTGTTTCATTCGACTTAAATATATTTTTATAAACTAAATTATAGATTGCATTACAGATAAAGAGAATTAAGAATGACTCTTACTGATCAACAATTACGACAAGAACTGATATCGTATGGTGAAATTGTTCCACCAATTACTAATCGTAATCGAGAACAACTTCGTACTCAACTTGAGGTTCTTCGATCACAAAAACGTACTACACGTACTGCAGCTGCGTCTCCAGTACGTACACGTTCAACTGCTTCACCATCACGATCTAATGCTAGTATAAATTCTCCATCACGTACACGTGCTGCAGCTTCACCAGTTCGATCGCATGCTAGTACTGATTCTCCATCACGTGTACGAGCTACTGCATCACCATCACGTACTCGTTCAACTGTGACAAATACTAGTGTAACAGCAGTAACTAAAACTCGATCTAAACAAACACCAAAACTTATTGAATTAAGTGATTCGGATACGGAAACTGCATCTACTACTGCACTTACATCACGCTCTGCTTCTGCTGGAAAGACCGCACCTAATATTCAGACACGTTCAATTGCATTACGTGGTGATAATAAATCACCAACAAATGGTGTTGCAAATACAGGACATGCGACTAATGATGTTGAACAATCAAGTATGTTGTCCTTAATTTTATTTTTAATTATTTATTACTTGAATTTTATTTTAGTTGCACGTCATCGTCGAGAAATTAAACAATTACTTGATTCTGCACGGGATAGAAATCAAGCTGTTAACACTAGTATGTCTTCTTTACGTTCTGGACAAAAGCGAGAATCACCAGTTCATCGAAAGTCACCATCACCAAGTTCAAAATCACATAATTATCGACATTCTTCAAAATCGGATGATGATCATGATACTAAAGTTAAGAAATCACCAAAATCTGATAATGATAGCAAAGCTAATCAATCACCAAAATCTGATAGTGACCATAAAAAAAAATCATCACCTGTTAAACATGCTAGAAAACCAATTCAATCATTTTGGAAAAAATATGTCAATTTAATTAAAAATTTATTTAAAATGTTACTCGTTAGCTCTGTTCTTCTTGGTGGAACTATTTTCTTTTTACAAAAAGGGGATTTTATTCCAAGTGAACAAGGTAAATTTCTATATAGTACATTATTATGTTATTCTATTCTATTATTTTTTTAGGTATCAGTTGTTCTGTCAAGAATGCGGTATGCAGTTTCTTTCATTTGTTTATATTTAAATAGATATATTCGTTTTTTTTCTCTAGACTACATGTGAAGATATGACACCAGTTATTGTAGCAGTACGAAAACAACTTCAAGTTCGAACTGGTAAGATTAAATTAGTATGAACGATTCATTTTTATTTGAATTTAAATAGGTGAAGTTGAATGTGGTTTCCGTCCAAAATCGGATGTTATTGTACCAAGAGCGGAAATAGAGAAAAATTTAAATGAAAAAGTAAATTAAAACTTTTTATTTATAATAAAATTGATTCGAAATTAACATTTAGGGATTGAAATTCAATTTGGGAAATGAAGAACGATGGAATGCATTAATTAAATATATTCAAACAAAACCACTTCATGACATAGTGTTAGTTTATTGTAAAACTTAAAATTAAATCTATATTTTGGGTTATTTAGATTATGGACTGAAACTAATCATCAAACAAATGAAACTGCACATGTTCGAAAATTAAGTACAAAAGAAGCCATACGTTCTTTAACATGTCGTGCTCGACAAGATATTCATAAAGTATCGAAAAATACATGTTTACTTACATTATTAGGTAATATATAAATTCATAGATAAATTCTGATTTTACTTTAAATATTTTACTTCTAGGATTAACTGGTCTTATACCATTAGCTTGGTATTTATTAAAGCCAAAAAAATCACATGATGAACATGAAACAACATATAAAGATTATTTTAAAAAAGCTACGAATTTATTACAAGAACAATATGAAAAACATATTCAAGATCCTCATGCACAACCATGGGTTGCTATTAATCATATTCGAGATAAGATTATTCCAGAAGGAGAACAGTTTGTATTCTTTCTTTTTGTCTAAATGAATATTTTTAATAAATTTTTTTGATTGATAGAGAACGATTAAAACATGTTTGGGAACGTGTTAAGAATCAAATAGCTAAACAAGATACACGTATACGTGAAGAATTACACGAAATTGATGGAAAAAAATCGGATGTTTGGCGATGGATTAAATCAACTGTATCATCACCAATTAAATCTAAATCAGTATGTTTATTGATTATCAGAAAAATTGTGTAAAGAATTTTTTTTTCTAATAGCCTTCGAAAGATGCAATTGAAGAAAATGATAATCATCCTGCATCAGATGTTGGTCTTACTGAATGTCTTAAATTACGAAATTGTTTTCGTTCAGATAAGTATGTAACTTAGAATTCTTTTGTACAATACTGAACTATGCTTTTTTAGTTATGCTGATGATAATGAAATAGATGATGTTATTGATGGTATTCAAAATCGATGTGCTAATATTAAACGTATCGAACATATTGGAATTCATTCGGTAAATAAAAAAATTTGACATTCATATATATATACATGTGAATAAATTTGTTTGTTTAGGTCTATGTTTATTTAAAATTTTCATCGAAAGAAGCAGCTGCACAAGGTTATCATTTACTTAATAATTGGAATTATCATAGTAAGTTTTTTTTTATTAAAAAAATTTTAAGTTCCTTTTTTGTTTTTTAAGATCGAGCGATCAATGTCAAATATATTCGTCTCAATCGATATCATGAACATTTTCCTGAAGCAAAAAATATTAGTACAAATCATTAAAATCAAACCATGAACCTTCTCTTTTTTCTTTTCTTTTTGTATTATTCATTTGTATATTTTTTCATTTATAATTTGTAAACCACTATATTGCTATATGTGTAGTGTAATCTAGAATTATTGTCAGAATATGTCTTCTATGTGAACAAATTAGATATCTTGTATTGTATAAATATTGTAAAGGTAAAGATTTAACGAAATGATACTTCTATTCTCAATAAATATATAATCCATAGAAAATGATAAATGCTCTAATTCTATTTATGATAAAGACAGACCTATAATTTTGATTTCAAATTTTGCCCAGAAGTAGGAAATGTATAGACTACCAAAAAATCTAAGGGGATATGTGCGCAAGTTGAGTTATTGACTTTTTCTATGGGATTCCGTTTTCTCCATATCAAGGTCTTATTATAGTAGCTCATCTATAACGCTTCGGAATTTTTGGGCTAAGTATTCATGAAATATAATGTTTCTGAAATATACGTAAAAAAATGTTTATGTTAATGGATTCGTATCTCGAGAATGCTCTCCAGGCAGACATGATCTTTAAAAAAACGCGTTCATACAGCGTATATATGGCGTCTTAACGGTGGACCATTGTAAAAACGCCGTTTTTACGAATTCTTAAAGCGTTCTACTGCGTTAAAATTTACTCCGTAATTACTCGCTAAAACGTGGAATTTAACGTGATTTTATACGTTATTTTGTGAGTTTTGACGGGTTAGCACAGATTGTTGACGCGTTAATCATAGTAGACAAAATTAACGGAGAGAAAAATCGTAAAAATGTGCGCTTTTACGTATTTTATTTTCGTTAAAATTTAAAAATTTCTATACGCATTTCTCCGTTTTTTTCTGAGTTTTGTCTGTCTGAATCAGTCCAAAAATTCTAAAACGTGATTAAGACCTTCATATGGACAAAGTTTTTACGTCAAAACTTTGATTTTATGTGGTGACTCACAGAAAAATTCTAGTAAAAAGTCGATATCTCAGCTTGCGCATGTATCTTCTTATGCTTTTTTCTAGTCTATATACTTCCTACGTATGGACAAAATTTGAGCGCAAAAGCTTTTTGACATCTCGGGTGGTGGTTCTCTCATCAGACAAGATTATTCGATATACTCAATCTGGAGAATGTATGAATGCGAATGTCATCTAGATTATTTGCGAGCTAAACTGAATAGTATGGATATCAAGATCAAAAGATTCATCCATACGAATTACAAATAAATTCTCATTTCATATTGACATTTTGTAGTTAATCAAAACTACATCAAATCAATTTATACATATTCAAGTTAATGATATATCCGAAGCTGAATTAATACGTGTCTTATATAGATAAATCTTCATCATAGATAATTTATTTACGCTTATCAAAACAAACAGAAACATGATGACTTGGATCGAAATATATGAAGATTTTTTCTGATGTAAGAACACTTTGTTTTACAAATAGAAAGTCATATTTCATTTCATTCTTCTTTTCAAACGTTTATCAACATATCTATTTAATCTCTCACTCTATTCAATTCTATCATTTTTTTTCGATACTAATCAATATCTGAAACTAACGAAGCAGATTTTCTTTGTTAGACAAAAAAAAACTTCGCTTATATCTCATTATCGACAACTCTCGTTCCTAATAATATCTTTTAAAATCTATTACCGAATGACAATCAATCCAGACTATGTCTTGAATATGCTCGGTTATTATCGAATACTATGTTAGTTATTCCATCTGATAGAATCCAAGGATCTAACAACAATAAACAATACTATCATTGCCAGTCGTAATAAGTAAATTCAATGTCAAATAAATTTCTCATCTGGTAAAACTATAGAATGTATTGTAAATATATTTAACATTAAACAAATAACTACAAGCTTTTTATAAATCGATTAAAATATTATTTTTTTTTCAATTAATCACGAAATTTATCTTATCGTATAAAACATGATAAAAAACGTTTCTACTTCAACTTTTTTTAAATTTCTTTGATCAAACAAAAGAAGAAATATCATAAATTTAAATATACTCCTTGATATCTCTAAGGTAGTTATATTTATTTTTCTGCTTTAATGATTTCGTTCTTGAATTAACTTTCTTTTACATTCAATGGAGAAAAATAAGACACTTCTTTTTCAACTAGAAAATTTTTGTTTTATAACCTTAATTTTCATACAAATATTGTATCAATAACAATAATTTTATTTCTATTTGATTTAATAACATTTGCTACAATTTAAGTTCGAGAAAAAAAAAAAGAGTAAAACTGATAAGAAATCAATGCACATATATAAAAGAATGATTCAAACAAGTTTGCACTCTTTCTATTTTTTTTTCTTCTTCTTTCTTCAATGCTTTCGTTTTTATTTTGCCTGTCCATGATCTTACCGACATATATACACAATCATTCTGTAAGTACTGTATATTCTCACACACGCTTATAAATAACGTGTAACATTTGTTGTTGAAACCTTTAAAGAAAAAAAAAAATGACGAAGCCACAAACAGCACCTAGATATGAAATGAACTCTGTTCTTTTTCGTTCGTCTTTTTTTTTTATTCTATTCTCTAATCCATCATTGTACGAGAGAAGATATTGTAAAATAAATGAACGAGAATGAAACCTTTTATATTCGAACGGTACCACTATTAACATACACCTACTGAATATATGTTAGCTTTATACTCGTCGTTACTATTCTTTTTCTTCTTTTTTTTCTTCATGTAATTGAACGCAACTCGAAAGAGAACGACAATATAACTAAAACCACTACTATTACAGTTGATATTTTACTCTGTTAACATACAACGGGTGGTCTCTTATATTCGGTCTACTGATATTGTGTCGCATATCGAACAAACAATTAAAGAGAAACAGAGACAAAGCAAGAGAGAGAAAACAGAGAGACAGACAAAAGAAAAAGTCTACTAGAGTATAAGAATGCGAATAGTTACAAAAAACGACGAGTATCAGAATATACGTACTCTCATGTCTTAGAGTTCTATCGAACCAAATCATAACAATAAGAGAGAGAGAACAGGTAAGTTAAATAATACAATATAAAGATTAATAAGAATAAAATAGACTGATGCATGTGTTCAAATGTATTGTATATTAAAAACAAATCAGAAATCAATGACTCTCTTCAGTTTATAATTCCTCATACGAATAGGAGGCAAAGAAGGAAGATTTTTCTATTACCTCCTATAAATCTGTATCTGTTATTTTTCGTGTGGGTATAAAATTTTGCGTCATTTTTTTTCGAGTTAATTAATATAAATTATGAAAGACATTTGAAGAATGTCGATTGAATTTGATGTAATGGAATTTCGAGTCTGCCATTGTTTTTCTCTCTCTCTCTCTCTCTCTCTTTTTCGACGATGTCCAATAAGCCCTTTATGCTTTTATTTTATATTCAATTTTACCGTTACTCACTCATCATATGAAAAGAGAACAGAACATACGAGACAATATTGATTCTCATTCTTTTGCGTCTCTATTACTTCTTTTACTGATAGTGAACATACTCTTGTCTACAACGTTTAACACAAAAAAAAAGAGGAGAGACGATAATCTTTCATCATTATTACAGGTTGAAAAGCGTTGATCAAAGAATGACGAGTTCGAATAAAGTCCGACGTTATCTACAACATCATAAACAACAGTATACAGAATCACATAACAATCATCAATCAGCTGCTGATTTATTAATTATTGATCCAATAACTGTTACGAATATGCGAAAATTTCGTGGTCGAACTCATCAACAACAACAACAGCAACAATCATCATCAACAACAGTAACGATACCACAAATTTGTGTAAATAATGAAGATGATATTAATAAATCTGATGATGATGATGCTGATGATGATATTAATGGTCATGTAGCTATACTTGATGAATTTGATCAAGTTTTAGAGAATGAATTAAAACGTGCATCTGTTTTACGTACATCATCACTTAAACAAAATGAATCAAATTCTCAAATAGATATTCCAACAAATCAACAACGAAGTTTTTCTTTTGCACTTAGTCCATCAACAAATTTAGATAATAAAAAACAAGAACAAGAAGAAGAAGCAGATGATAATTATGATGAATCAATACACACACAATCATTATCATCTAAACCGACAAAATTACCAGCAACAATAAAAGCTAGCTTGTCAAAAGAGACATTTTCACGTTTACTTCATTCTCTTGCTTTTCGCTCAGGAAATCATTCATCATCAAAAACAACAATGACAATGACAGATTCATCAACACAACATCATCCATGTTTAGCTTGTCAAAATTATCCTAATCTAGATTTACTTCCTAAACATAGAAAACGTCCATCAATATTTGGTGTTCTTGTATCAAAACTTAATACAACTTCATCAATAGCAACATCAACTATAAACGAAAATAATTCAAATCGTTGTTCTGTATGTAAACGACGTATATCAAAATCAATATTTTATAGTACAATATCAACAAATAATAATATTGATGAAAATAAACAACAACATTTATCACCACCACCACAACCAATACAAAATTTTTCATCAGCATCATTAACATCATCAAAAATACTTCAAGATCATGGACAAATATTATTACGTACAAAACGACGTCGAAGTTTACCATCATTATTTCATAGTCTTTTTGATTTTGATCATCATGATAAACATCAAATAGATGATAATAAACATATACAACATCGTCCATCATTTTCATCTATATTAACTAGTACTTTATTTGACAGTATCACTCGTGAACAGCAACAACAGCCCCCACCACAACAACAACAACAACAACAACAATCAATTGCGATTATTAAACAAACATCATCAACATCATATTCATCTATTTCATTATCAGAATCTGATTATAGTGAAGAAAATAGTAATAATAAATCATTTCGAAAACAATCAATAACTTATGATGATTCATCTCAAGTAAACGAAAAGGTAAGTAAGTAAGTCGGCTAAGACGAGCTTATCATTAGTATAAAAATTGTTTGCTCATAGCGGCACGCGTGCTTTTAACATAAACATATGCATACATAGAACACCGAAGGTCAAGTGTTAATACTCTTTGTCTCAGTAGAAAAAAAAGTTTATTATTGTTTGACCCTGATACACACACGTATATACTGTCTTTGAGACAGCGATGATGATCGGCGTCGACAATATCGATTTGTTATTGTTAACAATATAATGCCTGGCGTCTATAATTACAACTACTGGTGAGACTGAGAACAATGATGTCAATGACATTTTTTTGAGTATTTAATCATATGACTGAAACATATTCAATAGTGATGGTCAACTTAGATAAAATGCATATACATATGTGTGTGTGTGTGTATATATATATATTTTTAACATAGTCATGTCAGACGTAGCATCGTATTACATATATACATATATGTATAGATGAGAATCAAGTTGATACCTTGCTGACCTTTTCGTCTTTTCTCTTATGTTCTTCAATTGTTTGATGGCATGAACTGTCTGCTTACTCAGATTAATGATGATGGTGATTAGTCTTTTTTTGATACTATTTTGTATCAATTTTATTGACATTGTTTAACGGTTTCTTTAATTATAGAAAATGTACTGAATAGCAATGAAATTTTAATTTATTAGGATTTCTAACAAATATATGTTATAGACAAGTGACATCACTTGACCGTTTTCTTCTCATTGAGACGATGTGAAGGTGCTTGCCATATCGCATTTTACGTTGAGTGTAGACAAAAAAGGAATTCTTTTTTTTCTCTCAAGATATGCAAATTAAATTTTGATTTACGATGTACTTGATAAACTATATATATATATATTTTTTCTCCTTCTTTTCATACTAAAAGCAAAACATCAAAACACTTAATTCATTATCATTTATTATTGATCAATTAAATTCCTTCTTAAATAACAATAGCTTATTTTGTATGTAGATTATTATTTGACATATCTACTGTTATTTTCAACGTTTTAATTCAATCCTATCAATGTCAATAATAATAAAATAAAATATCGATTTCAAATATATATATATATATTGACATATTATGATTGTGTTCACATCATAAAGTCTGAGATTGACAGTTTTCATAGAAATTCTTCAACAAAAAAGCTACCTTTGTTATTCAATTAGTTTGTCTGGTATGAAAACAATTCGAAATTTTCATATAAAAATCTAGTGATCATATGGCTTCCATCTTTCTTTTTTTTGTCTTGTGATATATTATTCCTAATTCGTGACTAGAAATGACGCACACATAAGACATAGATTTACACATGGTAACAATCACGAACAGTAATCGAGACGGAGAGAGTAAGAGAGAGAGAGCGAGAAACAAATCGATATTAGACTAGTACTAACACTCGAGAATACAAGAGGAATGTCACCTGTCTGCAGTTTCATCGACCAAAAAAAAGATTTTCTTATCTACATGACCTTGCCTTATAAGATCACTATTAATTCAACATAGTCATTGTATATACTTCTTATAGATATACGTATTCCAATATGAAATAAAAATAATCTTAAATAAAGACTATTTATAACTAAAAGTAGAATAAAATTTTCTTCTTTTACAAACATAGGATATATATTTAAAACGAGTTTATGACTTTTTTTCAGTGGCGGATTTAGAGGGAGAGAGCGATAAGGGCAGTCGCCATCCTCCCTCTTCAGAATTTTTTGTTTTTGGTTTTTACCGCTAAAATAGGTTCATACTACTTCGATTAGACTCAAAAATAGTTTTTAGCCGGAATCGCTCCCCCCCCCTTCGAAAATCCTAGATCTGCTACTGCTTTTTTATCTTTGTTATTGGATCAAGGAAAGATTCTATGTATTTTTAATAAACTAAAACAATTTTTATTTTTGATTAGTTTCAAGTTCGAATTGATTCTGATGAGAATGATGCCGATAAAGATGAATTTGATAATGACAATAGTCTTGATAAAGGTAACATTAATTCGAAAATAAATATTTATATTTTTTTTTGTTTTAAATTTCTACAGATGATTTAAACACTATGAATAGTGACGAGTCAACATATGAATTTAATAATAATCAACTACTGCATCCACCTGAGTAAGTTGTGATATTCGATTTTTTGTTTTTTTCATATTAGAATTGACGTTTTTTACACATCGGATATGTGTCATTGGCAAATAACGATTTTTCGTTCTCTGATATTGATTTTTTATTTCTTCTAAAAAAAAAGTCTAAACACACATATAGAAGAGAAAATAGACAATGGACGACTAGGATATTCGATATGCACTAAATATGAGGCAGTATTTTAATGACGATATTGACGACATAGTCAAGATCATGCTTATTCGTTCGTCGTTTCGGGATACAATAACAAAAGTAAAAAAGCAATTTTCTTATAATGAAAATCAATATAAAGATAAAATTCATTTAATTAAATATAATTCCATTGACAATTTATTAATTGATCAAAAAACATCTTGTAATCATACTGATCTATCGAATGAAAAGTTTTTATTAACACGACATTATTCACGTTATGCTGGGTAAGATAATCAATCAAAGTAACATTTAAAAAATAATAAGATTTCTTTGAAATCAAGAAATATAATTGTTTACTTATCGACATTGATAACCGATATGTAAAGAATTCATATTTCAATTAATCTTACATTTCTCTCTCCCTGTTATTTTCTACTTTCATTCCTTGTTTCTCTTCTTTTACTTCATCATCCACATCGACACTAAGCAAATAAACTTTACTATTTGTATAACGATTGTTCACACTTCATACCATATGATGACGAGGGGAAAAAAAACCATTTTAAGAACATCGTCATGAAGAAGAAAAAAAAGAGAGAACCATTACATATACACATATATATGTATATATACATAAGTTATTGTGGTAGTCGATTTTCGATCTGTTATAAAAGTTCAATATTGATATTGATTGTATAAATATATAATTTGTAAGAGCGTATACAAAATTTTGACAATGTTTATTATTGATAATGGTCATGAATTAATGACAGATGTAAAAACACGAAGGTTTGCAATATGATTTTCGTTTTATTTTCAATTAAATCATATTTCTTCTTTCTTTTTTTTTATATACCTTTATAATCATTTCTTTTTTTCCTCTTTAGAGAGAAGACACGAAGTTTATTAGTCAATGTATTTCGCACTCGTCGATCAAATATTACTTTGAATTCGAATGAAGTAAATCAATCTCATTTTTTTGTCGATTTTAATTAACTTTTTTTCATGTAGACAAATATGGCTGGTAAACAATTTAGTGTTTCAGTTATTAATTTAGCAACATCATCAGTTAGTTCAAATTCAAATAATTCAAATTCTATGACAAATAATGATGCGACACTTATAAATCTTCTCGATCAACGAAAGCATGCTCTATCTGAAGAAAATTTACCAACAACGGTAAGTTAGATTATTAAATCAAGGTTCGTTTATTTGAGAAGAGAGAGAGAGAGAGAGCATAGGGATTTTATTTCTTGTACCTCAAACCTTCGATTTGATTTACCGTTATTCGGAGAGTTATTTATTTGATAATAGATGTTTATTGGGAAGGTCAAATTACAGATATAAGTATATGTTGTTTGGGTAGACACAAAAAAAAGAAATTAATCGAAAAGAAAAGAGGGTTTTCAATTGATGTGGTGGTGGCAACTATTAATGCAAATAGAATATAGTGAATATGTGAGAAATATTTGACCTTGAGATTAATTGGGAAGTTTTATGTCTTTATGCTATTGTCTCATTTTAGGATGGAACATATATTTATTTTACTAATGTTAATGGACAAAATTTTCGCGAACGACTTAAATATTCTGGTATATCTGAAAATACAACATTAAGGTAAAATAATAATAAGAAAAAAAACGATAGAAAATTTCTTTATATACTTATCTAGAGAAATATTATTAAAATTATTTGAAAAATATCATCTCAGCATTGAAACGTGTAATATTTGTCTAAGAAGTGCGCCCACTTTACCATTGTCCTTGGATCAACCAGTTAAACATCTTCTATTGGACGATCTTGTCGTTACAGGTATTAGAATAAAAAAAAAATCTTAGAAGATTGATTATATAATTTCTTTTTTTTCTTCTTCTTCTTCTTTCTTTTCGTTTTTTTTCTTCTTCTAATTAAGGCTCAAACCTCTTTTGTCTCTTTCTTTCTCTTGAAAATCACTTGGTGCATACACTCGAAATACCCATACATATTCAATGTGTATGATGCAACATTTGGAGGAATCTTAATGTGCCATTGCTTCTGTTGTTTATCGAAGCTTAAAATATTTCTGTAAATTTAATTAGTGTATCTGCAAGAGAAAAAATGAAAAAAACAGAATACAAGTCAATTTATCGATCATGCGTATAAAAAATCATGCAAAATCAAAAAGGAAAGCTCGACTATTATAAATACTATTGTCATTGTTATTGTTATTGTCCCATTTTCTAGTTGATGATGTTATATAATTTCTTTTTTTTTTCTTCTTCTCTTTCTATCGAACTTATATATGTATATACAATTTCTCTTCTTTGACTACTACTACTAGTTGTAGTAGTAGTAGTAGTAGTAGTAGTCGTAGTGATTGTCACCCCTCCGGCATACATACTCTCTCATTTATTGTTAAAAAAATCTAAGCGGGAGAGAAAGAATAAGAGGTTGCATCGTTTATTCTTTGTCTTAAACTCTATTGTGAATGAATTGTCTATCAAAAAAAGAAGAAGAAGCAGAAGAAACAGAAGACAATATTCATTATTGTTACATCAAATCATTCGTTTGAATTACGATGTCTAATGAAGGAGTAACATCAGCTGGTTCTCATACACCTCTTGTATCTCCTCTTCGTCGTTTATCTATATGCCGACAATTATCTGATGTATTAAAATATCGTCGTAAATCATGTTGTTCAAATAGTAGTGATCATTTACCATATATTCCATCACCATCACCCACATCAACAACAACAACAAATTCTGCATCATCAACATTTACATTTGTTTGGAATTGTGCTCTTACAGAAGTTGATTCTCCACCTGGATCATCATCTAATGAAGATTTGCATGTTTTACCTGTTCAACATCAACTACGAACCAGAAAAAATGGCTTATCCGATGATCCAAATATAATAAATACAAAAGAAATAACTGGATCCATGGTTGCAGCTTGTTTGCTTAAGCAAAAGAGCGTCAGCTGTGATGATGTTGCATTTCTATCATCTAGCGGTGATGAACAGACAATCTGTGCAAGTGGACCATCATCGGCTACATCTGCTGCAATAGCCTATAAAGCGAAACATAATGGTCTCTCCTCTATTTTTCTTTTTCTTCTTCTTCTTCTTCTTTATAATATTAATTAAAGAAAAACATAAATATATATTCAATTTTATTTTTGATTTACTAATTAAATATTTTGTTTATCTTTCAATTTAGAAAAAGAACATGGCTTATCATCATGTTCACATATGAATAATCGAGCACTTGCAAAAACATCAGCTGGAAAAGAACGAAATGATAAAAGAAATTCAACTGGTTCAGCCGTTTTAATAACAGTAAGTAAAATAATAATTCATATCAATGTCATATACATAATAGATATATTGAAATCAATCAATCAATCATAAATAAATTAGTTGTAGACAATTCTATGAATTGTTAGATAAACACTTGACAAGTGTTATTGCCTTCTATATGAGGAAAAAGATAATTGAGAGACGTGACAAAACACCTGTTTGTCATCGCTATAATAAAGAAGAAGAAGAAAAAACTAGACACGCGAATACCCTTAAGCACATTAATCATTGTATGCGATTGGTATCATATTGTTAGTTTTTTATTCTATATTGCTACAAAGCAAAAAAAAGAAATAATGATAAGATTCTATTCATGATCGTTAAACAAAAAAAAAGAAGAAGAGAATGTTTAGTCTGTTTTTCTATATTCATAAGTACATCTTGAATCCGATTTTTGTTTTTTTCTTATTATGATCTGTATTAGCCATATACAATGAAGCTCTATTATTACTTACTGTCAATAAATAAATAAATAAATAAATCAATATATATATACGTATATATATATATATATATATATATATATATATACATATATATTTGAATAGTTGTCTGTTCTATCTTCATAAGTAGAGAAGTCTGTTGATTTGCCTCGTTTAAGACATACAGGATATTTTGAATTTATGGTAGATTGACTTTGTTTTCCTTCTCCTTTATCCATTAGATCCGAAAAATAATTTCATATTGTTACCAATCTAAATAATATTTTGTTTTATCCGTTTACGTTTTTTTTCTTCTTCTATATTCTTCTTTTGTTTTATTGCCCCTCTTAATTATAAAACAAGCCTACGCATCTCTAATGATTTTCATCTGTTATTATTATCGAGATCTGTTGTTGTTTTCTTAGCTGAGAAAAAAAGATGTCTCTCTCATCTATAGTTAGTTATATTTCCTTTTAGACTTCAAAATCGACATCAGCTACAACAAAACGTTTATCAAATCAATGCATGGTGTCAGACAATGATGACGTAATATCCAATAATAGTAATTATAATCAAGAATTTAAATCAGGATATCTACAACAACAACATGTCAAATCAAGCAAAACAACGCGTTCTGGTCTTTTTACAAGCAGCATTTTTACTCGAGTAAGGAATGTTCCTTTTTTTTTGTGTATATACATGTGTCAGTTTGACCGCTAATTTATATTTTATAGTATGTTTATATAGAACATACGAAGAAGGAAAATACAGAACCTATCTTTTGCTTATTATCCGTTTCATTAAAAATATGATTTCCTTGTGTATTTAAAAATAGAATAAATCTTGTAAATGGACGATTGATTGCGTGTATGAAAAAACCCTGCATGTAGGTTGTAAGAGCCTCATGAGAATTAAGATAGAGAGAATGTATAGAATTGAATTGCATGTTCACATATCAAGTTTAATATGACATTTTAATTGTGATTATTAAAATCTAAAATATTGTAAAATCTTAATATGAAGTAAAAGAGGAAAGAAAAGAATATTATGAGTTATATTCTATTGTTACATCTATTTGTTTAAAGAAAAAATGAATATGCAGGTAAAAGAACTCTTATCAGCAACTATCAGACAACAAAGAAAAAATGTCATACATTTTTTTCGATGAAAGATCTTCTTTTACATATTTTATTTATTCGAAGTCTACGAGGAAAAAAAAACAAAGTTTTTTAATATAATGTTTGACAACGCTCATCCTACATCTTTATCTAATGATTATAAATTTAATACATCATCATCAACATCATCATCGTTCGTATCAGCTTTTTGGCGAACATTTAAAGAGAAACGTGTTTCTACTGGTATTGTAAGTGATCGCTTAGCCAATTCTCATCATTTATGAAATCCGATTAATATCTAATTGAAAAAATAGGAGGGAATTATTGTTTTGTATGACTAAATGTATATATATATATATATATGCGTGTTTTGGAGTCGAGTAATAGCAATGGCGATCATAAGATGAAATAATGGAGTAGATTAAATTACTGTTTCGTTTCTTTTTTTGCTATGTAAATATACGGTACCACTCCACCCTTCTCATTATCAGTAACTATTCGACGTATGATAGGTTACTGGCAAAAACAAAAATTAATAGTCCTATCGACATCTATCTCATAATCAGAACAGTAAAGAGAAGAACGTTCGATATTTTCTTCTCATAAGGGAAAGCGTAGAAAACATCGAGCGAGAGTGGAAAAGAAATACACAAAGCGGATTTCCACGTCGTTCTATTAACCATTTTCTTTGCCTTATTCTTCGCTTCTTCCATTCTCCTTTTATCCTTTGTTATTTGGTCATATCATTACGAATCAACAATTGTCGCACAGCACGAGAGGCGTCAGTAATGAATCGACGTCTATCGAAAGCAAATTCGATCACAACTTATGATACTGCTACATTATGGCGTGCATTAGAAGCCTCATCTGCCAATCATCAAAATCCAACTGCACGCCGTTGGCAACGTGCAGCAAGTCGTCTTTTAAGACAACATACTATAGCTTTAACTCCATCTCAAAATGATCATTTATCGAGTCCGTTTTCAGGAACCAATATAGGAACCGGAGGAAATGGATCGAATAATTTTTTGGTATTAAATGTTTTACATATCTTTAATTTTCAAATGAATTTATATAATATATTAGATGACTTTTACTATTTCTTTTATCTATTTAGGATGCTAATGATTCCAATAATGAACGACCAGAAAGTAATTTAGCATTTGTTCGTCGTAAATGTGACGAATGGTTAGCACACGGTCTACCAAAATTAGCTCAGTTACAAACTCATCAATTACAAATTGATGAACGTGATTTAAAAATTGAAAAAGAATGGCAACCGTTTTTAAACGAACAAGCAAAATCAGTAAGTTAGACCCTGAACTCTTGTCATTTGTCCTATTTGATATCTATCTGCACTCGATTTATCTTTGTGCCTGTATGAACTATCAACAAGAAAGTGACGAAAACTTGTCTTATCTCTTTTTCTTCTTTTTTCTCTTTCTTACGTTTTCCTTCTTTTTCCTTTTTTATTTGCATATGTCATCACTTGATTTTCTCTAGTTCATGTCCGAATCGATCAAACTTCAACAAGAAGCTATCTATGAAATGCTTTCAACTGAAGTATCTTATATACGTCAGATTTTAACAATGACTGATATATTTATGACAAGTGTTATGATATTAAAATCACATCAGCGTGATGGACTTCTTAATGATATTGACATGGATAAGCTATTTTCTAATATTCAAGAAGTACTTAAAGCTAATTTATCATTTTGGAAAGATATTTTATTACCAATTAAATTAAAACTTGAACAAACTGGTTGTGCAATGAATCCATCAGATTTTAAAAATGGTTTTCTTAAAGTAAGTCTTGCTTTTTCTCCTTCATCAACTTCTTGTTTTTTACATGAAAAATGTCAATCAATAGAAAAAGAACTGGAAGAAAAACAGTAACTGCACATAGAATGTCATCTCTAACATTAGTATTATTGTTATTAAGTTTACGAGTATCAACCTACGCATATAAAGATATTTTCCTTCTCAATTCTCTTATTATAGGAAAATAATCAATATTATTATATTTATATTTTTAGTTTGATATTTATTTTCAATCATATCTTCATTATGTACTCGATCAAAAAACAAGTGCAGAATATTTTAAACAAAAATTTGCGAAAGATGATCTATTTCAATATCTAATTACAGTAAGGAAATGAAATCTATATATATATTTTGATTGATATGTATATATTTTTGTTTTTTATTTATTTAGTGGATTGAAGCTAATTTTACTAACCGTTTGTCATTTCCTGATCTAACAATCAAACCATTACAGAGACTTACACAATATAAATTATTACTTGAAGCAATACAGAAACGAACACATGATAATCAACAACGAAATGATCTACAAGAAATGGTAAATAAGATAACTGATGTGTTTTGCTTGATAATAAATAGCAAAAATATATTATTAATGTTTTTCTTTTGCTACAAAATACTTGGAAATTAGAAGAAGTTTCGATGTAAAAGATAAATATTTATGTATACATCATATATACCGAGTTTTTTGATCTTTATTAATATATAGAATAATATCATGTAAATAAAAAAAATTTATTTTTCTTAGATTCAAAAAGTAGCCACTTTTGTTAATCGAGTCAATTCAAAATTACATAGTCAAGAACAAGAAGAACGTGTGCGTCAGATAAGTGATCGTATTGGTCCATATGAAAATGTTTCAGCACCGCCTGAAATCACTTCCGTATGTATTCTTTATTTGTCTTGGAAAATATCATTCTTTCTTTTTTCTGTCTGTTGTTGTATTAGATACTCCAAGAATATTATCGTGATTCATTTTCTCATCGATTGGATCTTCTTCGTGATATGCCATTATTTGTACGAGGCTATCGTCGTCAGATTATTCAACAAGGACCGATGAAAATGAAAGATGCAAAAAATAGTCAAGATGTTTATTGTTATTTATTTACTGATATATTTCTAATAACAAAAGGTGGTAAACGAGCTGGAACGATAAATTCATCATCATTAACATCATCATCATTAACATCTATAAGTAACGATGGACAATTCAATCGAGGTGCACCAACAGCAGCAAATAAAATTCTTAAATCACCTATACGTATTGATCGAATGGATGTTCGAGAATATGATAGACGTGGTAATAGTAATGAACCTAATACTGTAAGTAATATCGACAAAAACAAAATTCGAAAATCATCTTTGACATTATATTTAGGCTTCATTTGTTGCAATAGTTTTTTCTGAATATAATTTAATTGAATGTGGTTATTTATTTCAAACAAATTTAAGTAAACAATGGATTGAAAATATTCGTTCAACCAAAACAAATTTTCAATTATTGATGGAAGAATCAAAAATGAAATTACAAAATGCACATAATCATACATTAATAAATTCATCATCATCATCATCAACAACAACAACAAATTCAAATTCAAATGCATCTACGATACATCAATCACTTCCAAGTCTATCATCAACATCTGAAACATTATTAGATTTATCTACAGTTAAACATAATAGTGATAATTCATCAAATGATGAACCTATTAATAATAATTCAAATGAATCTATTCGACGTTCATCAAAAGTTGAATCCGATGTATTTAAAATTGTTGAACAAGCACGTCGAAATTCTCGTACTGATCATAAAAATTATGGACGATATTTTACAGCTGATGGTACAGGTACACATGGAACAAATCCATCATCATCATCATCAATCAATCCATCAACAACGAAATCAACACCATCAACAGCAATTATTAAACGTATGTCTTGGAATAATGAACCCATGAAAACAAACGATTCACCAACAATACCAAATAATGATCTAAGCAATACAAATTCATTTCGTAGTGTACATAGTTCAAGTGGTGTTAGTTCAACTGGATCATTTTTGTTTAGTGCCGATGAAGAATCATTAACAACAACAACAACATCATCATCCATACCACCTATTATGTCATCAATAACAAATAAAAATGATGATTTAACAGATGAACTTGATGAATTTGATGGTAAAAGTTCATCATCAACTGTTATTGGAACAGATGATTATGAACATTCATCAAATACTATCTTACCACATGAACAGATTATATCTATACCTGTAAATTCACTTGATTTAATGAATAGTGATATTATTGATAATATAAATAGTCCACATCTAGTCAGTAGACTATCATCATCAAGTACAAATACAATAACATCATCAAATGGTATAAAAAGAAGAAAAAAACAACAATATATTCTTTGTTTTTATTTCTAAAATTTTCCTTTTTTCTATTTTTAGAACTTCCATCATCTGTTAATACTCATATATCATCACCAGAAACATCATTACGTCGAACACCATTTGCAAGTGTAAAAAAACGTAATCAAACTCACACTCATTATCGTTCTGGTTTTGGTCAACAACATCAAGCATTTCGCCGACCTCGAGTTTTTGATGAAAATGAACTTCGTGCTTCAACACATACTATTGTTTATGATTCATCAAAAGCAAGTAATAATAATAATTCTTCAGCAGCAATTCCAATTCGACGAACAATTGCATCATCATCTGATGATAATAATACAATGGTATCATCACTTGGTGGAAGTGGAAATGAAAGTGATTATGATAATAATCATTCAGTTAATGATTATTCTAATATACCAAAATATTTACCAACATTATCAACACGACCAATAAAAATACCGGTGAATGATTTAAATCAATCTGATGAATTAACACGTACAGATGATCTTCTATTGGGTGATCAAAATGAAATTGTACTTACAAATGATTCAACAATGAATCATAATGACAATGATGATCGTAATAATTATAAAGAAACACATGTTGATCTATCTGATGACGATGATGATAATGATACGACTACTATTCAGTCAACAATGACTAATAATAATCAACAGTCAGATAGTAATATAACATCTTTGACAAATCCTCTATCCAATCATCGAATTTCAACAAAAACAACTGATAATACATCATCGAATGTTCAAGAATATCGTAAAGATCCATTAGCAGCAAGAAAATTATTTGATATTCGAAGTCATTTATTATTAAATACAACACTCGATGCAACGTAAGTTTAATTCATTTATCTTATAATTAATTAATTAATTTCTTTTTTTATTTTATTTAGAGAAGTGTAACAACAATATAAAATTATCTTTTTCTTTCTTCTTTTTTTT